CACATTTTCCTCGCTTTACGATTGAAAACAATTATAAAAATAAAATTTAATTAACGTTTAAATTGAAAACTAATTTAAAAATCATTTCTAAAAAGTTTTTCAACACTTGGGATGAGTTGAAAGGGGTATCCAGTGGTGTGCGAACACAGGTTAGGTTACACACATGTTATTAAATGTGACCACAATGAATGTGACCATGGTCATGTGGTCATCCCATTCACCCCCGCCCCCGCTATGGGGCCCTCCCTTTCGTTAACTAATTATAAAGTTTTTAGTTTTTAAACTCGTTTACAAACCAATAGCAAGAAGTGTAGACACAATCGCTTCGGTTTATTGTCAACGCGTTTGCGGCCAAACCAGACATCACATCATCTGATCCAATGATCCACTGATTTCTTATGGCTCACCACTTGTTAATTGTTATCACATTTAATTATAATTCAGATAAAAATTGTTTGAAAACCCAATTTAAAATATCAACACATATTTACTGTTAGTTGACTTCAAAGCAAAATACAAATAATGTTCAAAAATAACGTCTAATAAAAACAATTTATTTATAATAAGTTTATGCTTTCGGGGACTATAAAAATGGGACTATTTGTGAACGTTATTCATTGTCGATATTTTAGTACCTTTCAATACTCAACACATTATACGATAACATGGGTTTCATTGACTATAAAAGGGCCGTAATCTTCGCTACTATTTGCAAAGCAATTACTCAATCAAATTGATTTCACAAATTCATTCATTCACTCATTAAATGACTATAAAATGTAAACAAAACTACAAATCAATTGATTTGTAATTATTATTATAAATACAATTAAAAGTGTAATTAAATTGCAATTAAAAGCGATTTATAAATAGGGAAATGAATTTAATTACTAGTGTTTTGTGTATATAATTGTGATATTGTTCTCAAACACAGTCTTCGCAACACAATTGATGCCAAAAATGCATTTATTTGTGCACTTAATGTCAATTGTGGTGACAATCGGGACAACCATTCGCACCACCGATGCCTACAATCCGTACGAAGTATTGAACATCACTCGTAGCGCTTCCATACCGGAGATCAAGAAGTCTTACCGATTGTTGGCTAAACTACTGTATGTATTGATCCATTCGGTGCCCACTCTTTAGTGTCCATCACTTGATGGCAATGATTATCATCTGTTGTTTTCCTCCGCAGACATCCGGACAGAAACAAAGA